TCTGAATGGCTTATTTCACTTAGCATCACACTCTCCAGTTCCATCCATGTTGCTACAAAGGGCCATATTTCATTCTTTCTCATTGCCACATAGTACTCCATCGTGTATATAAACCACAATTTCTTTATCCATTCATCAGTTGATGGACATTTAGGCTCTTTCCATAATTTGGCTATTGTTGAGAGTGCTGCTATGAACATTGGGGTACAAGTGCCCCTATGCATCAGCACTCCTGTATTCCTTGGGTAAATTCCTAGCAGTGCTATTGCTAGGTCATAGGGTAGGTCTATTTTTAATTTTTTGAGGAACCTCCATGCTGTTTTCCAGAGTGGCTGCACCAATTTGCATTCCCACCAACAGTGCAAGAGGGTTCCCGTTTCTCCACATCCTCTCCTGCATCTATAGTCTCCTGATTTGTTCATTTTGGCCACTCTGACTGGTGTGAGGTGATATGTGAGTGTGGTTTTGATTTGTATTTCCTGTTGGTCTTTTTTGTGTCTGCGCCCATTGGTGTTTCTGTTGCCAGGATCTTTAACACCAATTCTGAGAAAATGAGGCAAAAAGAAAGTCCCAGAAACTCTTCACCATTTTGTGCCTTAGGTCGGTCCTAAGATCCCTGGCTGGCTTGCCTTTTCTCTACCTTTCAAAGTTTTCTTACATTTGATTTATATAATTCCCAAGAGCTTAGTCTCACTTAGAGAAATAGGAGAAAGTACATCTACTCCATCTTTCCCCAAACAGAAATTCATAGTATTTAAACATTTATATGTTGTTTTTTCATTTTGGTTCTGTTCAAGTTATTTTTTAATTTCCAATATGGTTTTTCCTTTGACCCATCGTATATTTGGTATTGTGTTGTTTAATTTTGGTTTCTAGATTTATTTTTCTTTCCTTTTCTTTTCTTTTCTCTTCTTTCTTTCCTTCTTTCTTTCTTCTTTTCTTTTTTGATTTCTGTAAGTACTTCTCAATGTCATTTGCAATAGTAACAATTGTATAGTATGGACCTGCCCGAGATCTAAGATGAAAGAAGCAGTTTTCTGTACCAGCTTTGTCTATTTCCCAGCTAACCCTTCAGAGACACTCTTCTGTTCTTACTCCTGTGATTATCTGTGTAACTATAGCATGAATGCAAAAATCAAAAGACAACCTATTTCTTGAATCTTCCACTTTAGTTGATGTTGACTTACTCTGTGTGTAGGATGAGGATTTAGTTTACTACACTAGCTCCCTTACTCCCAGCGTTTGATACTTATTTTTACTTTTTTGGTTATTTTTAGAACTTTATATAGTAAAATCTCTTTCTTGTTTCCTTAATTTCCAACAGTATGGTCTCTTAGCTAATTTTTTTTCTTTTCACTTGTTCAGAGATACTTATTGAATAATTAGCAGTTTTCAGTATCCTTGATGTTATGAAAGAGTAATCATGATAATGTAAACTTGATAGCATTATAAGGGACGAGGCAACAAGCAGTCATTCAATCTCATTTCCCGTTGCATAGATACAATGTGGAGATCTGGATTTGCATGCAACCTTCTCTAGTACTGCGGTGTTGAAGTGGACTTCCATACTTTTTGCATTCATCAGGGGATTAATTTCTAACCTACAGCTGAAAGTGTTAAGTGTGGAACAATATGTTTTAAAAAGGCAAAGCATTTAATGCTTAACTGTATGCCAGTGTGTAATTTCTCATCTCCCATCACTCTTACAAGATGGTTATCACTAATGTCCTTTTAGAGATGAGGTGTGTGAGGTTCAGAGGTTGAAGGATTGGTTACTTCAGACTATCAAAACCATAACTTACAGAGTCAGAATTTGAGTTTAATTCTGACTTCAAAGCAATGCTTCCCTATTATATCAAGCTACCTTCCAGAAAGGAGTATAATTGTAGATTTAGCACATGCATTTAATGTAATAAAGTTTTTGTACATGGGTGATTAAATACACAAGAATATATAACTTTTTGCATAAGGCCAGTTTTATACAAGTAAGTGATAAAACAGTAAATCTATACTTTTCGTATATGGAAAGATGTTTATTATGTTTGGTGATGCATATTACATTAGCATCTTAGATAATATATAATCCTGAATCACTTTAGCTCTGTGTGTGTTTTTGTATACCAAGGGGGAAACTGGAGGGATGATCACCAAAATACTAAAAATAGATCTAGGTGGTTTTCACTTTCACTTTAAACTCTTTATTTATTTATTTATTTATTTATTTATTTATTTTCCCAATGATCTTGTATTATTCCCAAATCTATAAAATTATTTTTTTTAAATCTCCCAACCATGAGCATTTTGTTGTAATTTTCTGTTGTTGTCCTTTTCCCTTGTCTTTAAATTTCACCAAAGTGGATTGCAGATTGGGAAGAATTAGTTAATTAAATCTGCTTGGTTTAAGTTTTGTTTTGTTTTTTTAATTTTTTTTTATTTTTGAGAGAGAGACAGAGACAGAGTGTGAGCAGGGGAGGGGCAAAGAAAGAGGGAGACACAGAGCAGGCTTCAGGCTCTGAACTGTCAGCACAGAGCCTGATGTGGGGCTTGAACCCACAAACTGTGAGATCATGACCTAAGCCAAAGTTGGACACTTAACCAACTGAGCCACCTGCTTGGTTAAAGTTTTAATGGGCACAGGAGCTATTATCCCATATGCAGTTGGTTTTATATTTTGTAGACTATGAAGAAAATAAATTCAGTAAATGAAATGTTATGAAATATTCCCGTAAATCATTGTATTTTGCTATTAATAAACACCATATTTTAATTATGTACTATTATACTTGATTTTACAGATACTGTTATTTATGTTGTAGAATTGATTACAAAAACATATTACAGAGATACTGATCATAACATACATTTTTGTAGATGTGCTTAGTTTATTGTGTGTATGTATATAATTTTAAAAGGACTGTTTTCCCCGTGAAATGATTTAAATAAATTTGTCAAAAGTTTATAATGTCAAAGGAAGCCATCATAAAGTAGTATTTTGGAAAAAGTTTTCTTATGAAGATATTTTTTTCCATCATCTCTTTTTGTTTTTGTCTTTGTAGGTGATTATAGCCTTCTGGTATCGTATATTTGTGGGAATAATGAATTTATTTGGGCTAGAAGCTAAGACCTGCTGGAATGTCACCAGAGTAGAACCTTTAAATGAAGTTCAAAGTTGTGAAGGCATGTTTCTTTCTAAATGCTGCCATGTTGTCATTAATATTTACAAAAATGTTTTATAGAGTTGTGACTCATTTTAAGAATTATAAATTACTGTGATTGATTTGTTTTCTTTAAAACACTGTAGAGCTGATTAAAAGAGTATAAATAGAATAAAAAGATTTTAAAAAAGTTTTGGGGTAGTTTAAATGTATAAAATTGGGGATGTAGAGTAAACAGTCAAATATCTACCTATAATAGTTCATGTAAAAATTTGGTTATGCATACATACATAAAAATCAAATATGCAATTAATAGATTGCTTTAGAAATACTGTTTCTTATATTCTCACAGTTCATGAATAGTTCTACTTGAACTCTCCGTATACATCTTCATTAGCACCTTTGTCAAAGAACCCCATTTGGAATCCTCGGTTTCCCAGGATCTATAATTGTCACTTCTATTTGAGATATTTGTTGTTTAGCACTTTTAAACTCTAAGAACTTTATTCAAAGTCACATATATCTACTTGCATAATATTTGCATTTTTTATTTCTTCATATTCTCTACAACATGACTACTTAACTGTATTTTATAAATATATTTTTTAGATTTCTTTATATAACATTTGTTTCTTAGAATGTTCGCTAAATCTGTATTTCTGTATTTTCCTTACATTTTTCTAATTTTCTCAGCTGATCTTTGTAGCATCTAAAATAGCATTGATAGGGGATAGTTGAGGGGCGATTAGACTTTTTTTGTACAAAGTAATCAAGAAAATGTTTCATAAAATGAGAAACTTTGTAATGACTCAGCTTAGAAGTTAACATTTTTTTCTGAAGGATGGGGAAAAATTGCCATATATATGTGTGTGTGTATATATGACACACATATATATATACACACACACATATATGATGTTTATTAAGTTGCCACTAAGTGATAGGTTATTGTTTGCACTTAGAACCCAGATGAGCCAGGTAGGCATAGACCTTACCCTCATAGAGTTTACACGTAAGAGGGGTGTTAGTGGTTACAACTGTGATGGATATTGTAAATAAGAAAATAAGGTTGCTGAGTTTAGGAGTAAAGGAGAAGTGTTTCAAGATTAGGAACCAGAATATTCAGAAGTCCTGAGGCAAGAGAGAACTGAAAGAAGGCTAGACTTTTGGGAGCAGAGAGAGAAAGAAGAAAAAATGGTGTGAAGGGATGCTAGGAATGTAAGGAAGGCTCAGAAAACAAAAGGCCACATGCTGGTTAAGGATTTTGTACTTTGTACTTTATTCATTGAAGAATGTTAGCAGATTAACATTTTAAAAACATTATTTTGACAGTTATATGGAAAATATATTAGTAAAGGACAAAAGTGGGTTTAGTGAGACCAGGAGGAGACTATTAAGCTCTTAGCAAGTGATTGCGGTTGTGTGTGTGTGTGTGGGGGGGGGGGGGAGATAACTGGGAAATGCAGAGATTTGTGGGATATTGGAAGTAGAATTGACAAGATTGGGTAATCGATTGATGGGGGAGGGGAAAGTGAGTGAAGTCCTGTTAACATTGGTTTCTGGCGTAAGTGATAGTTTCTTTGAATAGAAAAAAAACTTTTAAAAGTAGCAGGTTTGGGGTGCCTGGGTGGCTCAGTCAGGTAAGCTTCTGACTTCAGCTTAGGTCATGATCTCATAGTTCGTGAGTTCAAGCCCTACATCAGGCTTTGTGCTGACAGCTCAGAGCCTAGAGCCTGCTTCAGATTCTGTGTCTCCCTCTCTCTCTGACCCTCCTCCACTCATGCTCTCCCTTTCTTTCTCTCAAAAATAAATAAACATTGAGAAGATGTTTTAAGGAGCAGGTTTGAATTGCTACATTAGTTTGAGATACCTAGGAGACCTGAAAGTGGGGAGGTCAAGTGGCTACCTGCCTGGATACATATAGGAAGAAGAAAGTCGCAAAAAGAACGTCGCAAAGGATACAAATAATGCAGTAGGTCTTCTCCTGTAATACATCAAGTGACTTTACAGAGAATTCTAGATACTGAACAATAGCAACATCACTTTAACAAAATAATACACCACCAACTAATCATTGCAGTATAATAATACTTCATTAGGGCAAACTATAAATGTAACTACAATAAAGTATAAAATTCAAATGTAATAATACGTGATATAAGGGGAAGGTACTTATGTAACTATTAAGTAGAGCAGCAATCTGAAAAGCAAATGTTTTCAGCAAGTTCTGAACCCTGAATCCAAGGCACTGAGACAGTTATGCCCAATTGCCTTATAGTCATTTATTCATTAAGTACTAATAATCTTTGTCTTTTTTAAAGGATTGGGAGACCCTGCTTGCTTTTATGTTGCTGTGATTTTTATTTTAAATGGAGTAATGATGGGATTGTTCTTCATATATGGTGCATACCTGAGGTAAGATTACTGTGTTAGATCTTTCAGTGGACCTATAAAGACTGGCTGACATTTTCTGATTAAATGAAAAGGATAATTATGAGATTAATTGATTAATAGTATGAAATTTTATACATTTATTTTATTTTTTTCAGAAACTTAGTTAATATCACGCAACCAGAAACTAAAGCTGTCACTTAAAGGCCTCTCTTTTATCCTTCTGGGTTTTGTTTTTGGGTTTTTTTTTTTTTTTTTTTTTTTTTTTAAGACTAAGATTCCTTAACAAAGCCTTTAGTGAGAATACCACCAGGCCATATGTAAACTTATTATAACATTAGAGGAATCTTTGGTTGGCATTAGTGACTGATTATTTCTAATTTTAATGTCTGTACATGTGAAATTAAGAAAGTATAAAAGAAAACATATATCACTATGGCAGACACTTATATTTGATAGCCTATGTTTCTTGTTAATGGTACCACAATTTGGTTTCGGGTAGCAGTGTGTCCAGTCTCAGGTGATAGGTTGAAGTTGATTATGATAATCATGCAATCTGCTTCCCACTCTCCATTGCTTCTTGGGATGGCCATATGAGTTAGTTTTTTCGTCGAAAAATACGATGAAATCAGTCTTGTTTATACTTAGGAAAGCATTTGTCTTTCTGACAAGGATAGATTTCAGCTGTCTTTTCTCTGTCTTCTGCTTTTAAACTTTAGGGTGATGCTTGGAGTTGCTGCAGTCACCTTGTGACCAAGAGGGAAAGGCCACAAATATAGCACCTAAGTCTGCTCTAACATCCTTGTGCTGGTGAACCAATGCCAGCAGACACTTATCTTTCATTTTTTTAATTGAATGACATCAGCCACTTTTGTTAGGTTTTATTTCTTACAGCAAAATATATTCCTAACTGATCAGCAGCTTTCTTTATAATGTTATTCTTGAATTTAAAGTTGAAAATCTAGGGGCACCTGGGTGGCTCAGTCAGTTGGGTGTCTGACTTCAGCTCAGATCATTATCTCACGATTCGTGAGTTCGAGCCCTGTGTCGGGCTCTGTGCTGACAGCTGGGAACCTGGAGCCTGCTTTGGATTCTGTGTCTCCCTCTCTCTCTGCCCCACCCCTGCTAATGTTCTGTCTCTGTCTCTCAAAAATGAATAAACCTTAAAAAAAATAAAGTTAAAAATGCAAAAGACCTAAAGAAATGCAAAAGACCTAAAATAGTGGAGACATTCTTGAAGAAGATAGGAGACTTGCTTTAGTAATCATTTCTGTATTATAAATCTGATGTAAATAAGGTAATGTGATTGTGGTATGGGGGTAGGCAGGTAGAGCAGTGGAGTAAAGCAGGTCTCAGAAACACTTGGCCCATTTAAGGACACTTGATGTATGCTGAGAGTGGATATTGTCCATCAGTAGGTAAGGACCAGCTTCTCAACACATGGTCCTGGAATCACTGGAAGATCATAAGGAACAAAGAGAAGTTGAAACTGTACGAAAATTAAATCCTAGCTAGAGTAAAAACTCAAATATGAAAGAAAAAAATATAAAATGCTTAGAATGAATATCAGTAACTTGGGATAAGAAAAGATTTCTTTAAACAAGGAAAAAAGTTTAGCCATGAAGAAGAAAACTAATAAATTTGATGGGAAGAATTAAATTCCTCAAGGTATTATAGAATGAAAAGATAATCCACAAACTGGGAAAAGATATTACAAAGCATATAACCAACATTGTACCCAGACTTTGCAATCACGTGGCACTCCAGGTGCCAGGAATACAAAAGAACCTCTGTCCTTTTAGAATTTATATTCTAGAGAGGAGACAAGACTAAGAAGACAGACAACCCAATAGAAAAGTGCACAGAGTATTTATGATCAGACATATATGAGAAAAATTCCAAATTGCCAATAAACATATGTAAAGTTGACTACCATAATTACTTATCAGAAAAATACAGATTTTATCCGCAAGGATATTTCACATCTACTAGATTGGCAAAAGGAACTTTTTTCTGTGGCAAGTGGACATACAAATTAGTACAACTATTTTGGAAAAACAGTGTGCATTAATTTAGTAAAGTTGAAAGTGTAGATACTTTCTAACTCTGCAATTCCAATTTAAAGTATATACACCTTTAAATACAGGGAACAAACTTGGTGTTTGCCACGGAGGAGGGGAATGGGGAATGAGCAAAATAGATAAAGGAGAATGGGAGATACAGGCTTCCAGGTATGGAATGAGTAAGTCACGGGGAGAAAAGGCACAGCATTGGGAATATAGTTAATGGTATTGTAATAGTGTTGTATGGTGACAGATGGTAGCTACATCTGTGAGCATATCATAATGTATAGAGATGTTGAATCATGTTGTATACCTGAAACTAACATAATTGTGTGCCAATTGTACTATGTACACCAGAAAGTATGTATTGCAGGTGACACCAGCAGTGTTGTTTGTAAGAGCTGCAAGCTGAAAACAACTCTATCTATGAACAGAGAAATGTACCCATTACAGTTTATTAATAGCGAACTACTAGACAACATTGAGAATGAATGAGCTGTAGCTATACACATCAACATGGACAATTCTTACAAATAGAATGTTGAATGAATGAAGGCAAGCACAGAATTAAAGAAAGGCTGCATACTTCCATTTGTATACAGTTTAAAAACAGATTAAAGTAAATCATAGTATGTGTATAGATGTGGTTATATTAATACTCACAAAAATCAGGATAGTGGCTTTTGAAAGGGTGTCAGGTGGGGACCCAAGGCGTGATCAATTTTCTATTTCAGTGGTATATAGTGGTTGAAAGGATGTTCACTTTATAATTGTTCTAGAAACTAGAAAATTTTATGTATGTTTTAATGTATTTTTTTAGGAAAATATAAGCTCATCAATATTTTGATGGAAAAGAATTACTTTTAGATTATGTTGGCAGCTTTAAAATGTTCTATTTTTGAAATTATCCATATTACTCTTTTTTTATATGGAAAATGTTATACAAGACTAAAACTTTTTAAAGTTAATATTTTTCCCTGGGAGAAGTACCCAAGAGGTGATAGTTTTCTCTGAATTGTTTACACAGTTCAGGAATATCAAATACATTATTCGGCTCCAGTCTTTTTTTTTTTTTTT